AATAATGCATGTAATTTATATCACTTAGCAGGAGACCTTGACACTTTTATTGAAGTGTCAGTGCGATGATGAAACGTTTTATTATTATTGACTCAACAATATGCTTACTTTGACTTTTAATATTAAGATCAGTTTTTTTACTGTTTACTTTGAGTTCTTCTTTAATTCACGACATATTAGGTGCACTGCATTCATGGATTTATTTCACTGATGACTAGCCGTAATATAACCAATCCTTCCTCGGTTCTTCCGCCGTTAATTAGAGATCATTTTTTCCTTCCTCGCAATGAACATGAAGATAACTTTTTACTTGCCATGATCGTTATCAACGCTGTTATGGCAGCTGTAACCAGCTGCAGTAATGCTGTGGTCATTTACACCATTTCAAGAACACCTTCTCTACAAACTCCCTCCAATATTCTTATTCTTGGTCTCGCCATTTCAGATTTTAGCCTTGGTGTCTTCGTACAGCCTTGTCTAAGTTTCCGTCTGTTTGCAGAGTTGGAATACAACCTAAGGCTTTATTACTGGTGTAGGTTAATCTATCTGGCAAGTGCATGGAGTCTTTCTGTGGTTTCCATCTTGACATTGACCATGGTTATTGCGGATCGATTCCTCGCCATCCACTTGCACTTGCGATACCAAGAACTGATTACAACCAAGCGCTACATGATCATTCTTGGAATCATTTGGCTTGTCTCGCTATGGTTTGGCGCATATAATGGCATGCACGATACAGACAGGGCGATCCGTTATGTGTACATCGCTTCACTGTCCTTGCTAACAACTTTGAATGGATATTTTATCTTCAAGATTCATCGTGCAATTCGCAGGCACTCAGTTCAGATCCAGGTAAATACGTTGGGCCAGGACATGCCAAGGCATAAAAAATCCGTGAAAATCATGTATTTCATGATTGGTGCATTTGTAGTGTGCTATGGACCTTATTCTGCAATCATGGTTGCCAGACAGATAGTGCCAAAGAGGACTCTAACCGTTCATCTTTGTCTGATTAGCTTCGCGACCCTCTTGATGTTCAATAGTGCACTAAATCCAATAATTTATTTCTGGAGAATCGAAGAGATGCGAAATGCTGCGCTGGTATTATTGCAGAAGACACGACGATGTGGGAACATGAATTGAACAGTTCAAGAAAAAAACTTGATACGCCTGTATCCAAACACATTTTCAAAACTTTTATCGATACCCTGAGACAACCTCTGTGCCAATCAAAGTCAGTACACGGCTAACTCACAGAACGAACCCTAAATTACAACCTCGGGGCTGATCAAAGTTAAGGCAACACTCGCAGATCCAACTCTGAACTGAATCTCTGGGTTGATCAAAGTCAGAACACAGCTTACTCACAGATCAAAGTCAAGGCGTGCACTTAGAATCTCGCTTTTTAAGGACGTTTGCAGGCATTGTTTTACTAATTCAGTGACTCCCATTTTTCTCTGTCTTAAAACTAAGATGCTACCAAAATCTACATCATATTTAAATCTAAAAAATCTGTTTCCGAGGGAATGATTGACACCAAACTTACGAAAGAAATCCACCTTTTAACGAATTCGAATTCTACGTATTTTGTCTGTATTGCACAGATTCAAAGTTTCATAAATAATTATCATTACATGCTTTGAATTCAGAAATCTTAAAGAAAGTTTCATTTGATGGCCATAAATTTCATTTCTGTTTTTTTTTTAAGTGTTATTTTGAAAATTTTGAAAATTTAGATTACGCTATAGCGTACTTCTTTTTCTCGATGAATACCGCATTTGCTAAGCGTATAGCAAAAAATCCAATTCGGTGACCCCCATCTTTAATTCCATTTTTTAAACAAGAATATGTTGGGGTATGTATACGCCAAATTTAAAGAAATTCTGATTGCAGGGGGTTCAAAAACAAGTTTTCAATGAGAAAATAATAATATCAGCCGAGTTCGTTTGGTTTAGAGACTGTTCTAATGCGATCTCACCTGAATTCAAGCTGATTCAGTATTGGAAAAAGTGAACCTGCCGGGGTTATAATAATTCAGTAATAATAGTGAACTTAATTGAAGTCTCAAAACTTAGAGCTCAGCACAGGTGCTTTGCTACTCTGGGAGACCTACAATCGTAAATATGCAGACGAATTCTAGATGCTCAAAGACGATAACTGGAACACACATTCGAACCAATAAATATTGAATGCCGATCAGTAGATTAAAATTATATATATCATATAATAATCCATAAAATACCTATATTTCTCCTTTTCGAAAAACTGATATTTTCACATGTGAAAATAACATGTTATTTTCACATGTGAAAATATCGTT